ATATTTCAGAAATCCTTTAAACATTTTGGCCACTTTTTCTTGTCTTATGTTTTGTTAATATTTACATGGTATCTACTTTTATTTCCAGTGAAAAAGATGACTTTTGTTTTGCCTTAGTTTGGAGTATAGTTCTTCTGAAGTTTGTAAAGAAATTACTATTTTAGATAATTAACACTTGTAACGAGACAAGCGTTATTGTGTATAAAAGTCCAAATTACGTCTAAAGTGTATCAATGATAGGGATTTTATGAAACTTAGCGGCAAGCTTAATGACTTAAAACGCATGGATCATTTCCCCTCGGTGGAGACAGCGCTAATAGTCCATTGTGTAGCTTACAATTAAACTATCGATTAAACAAAACTGTGCTTTAATTCATAAAATACTACATGGCTGCTGTCGTAGGAAAATTAATACTTCTCGTCAATTTAGCGTAAATAATTACCTTCTTAAATTACATACATTGGAGGTTATTAGCAGCCAAGCCTAACGTCTGCTGAACTTTCAGCCTGTGTGATGAAAGTTTTTCAGCAGTGCAAGGCATCTATACAGAGAAGCCCAGATGATTCATTGGAACGTGTTTATTAATAAATAAATAAATAAATGAAGTTTTAATTTCAATACTGACCAGTTCAAACTATTAAATAAAAAATGTATATATACAGAGTAACCTCCACTAGAAACATTATCTTGATCCTCTGATAATTTTCATATTCCATTGATTTAACTCCTCCTCGATGATTAATAATTGGAACGATGTTATCTAGAGACGTATGAGGTTGTCGCTAAAGAATGGAGGAGCGTATAGAATAGTTAGATGTGACAATCGCTTTCATAGAACATTCATGGCCCCAAAGTGCGACGAGCGTTTTTTGAGGCAACGAAACCCGAACCATGAGCCCTCGAGTTTACAGACCGTGTTCGGCTCTTGAATAGAGGAATGTTTATTTATTTTCCAATTTAAACGGCAATTACGATCTTGCCTTCTGGTCAAATGAGGATATTATGCACGCAATACGTAGCTAAGAAACGAAAGAGGTATTTTTTGTTTTAATAAGAACACAATCTGAATCTGTGATTGAATACTTTGAATCCAAGGATTTTTCACTAGTTTTTAAACAAGTAGAAGACAAAGTTAGTACAAGTCGATGAAGGAAACGTTTTTGTGTTTTGTAAACTTTTTTTCATTCTCTGTTTTCTTGAGCGGCTGTTCTTTTGTCTAACAAAAGTTGATCATTTTAGTTGCCCATTAAAAAGGTCTACTCACTGTTTTTGTGAATGGTGCCAATTTGTGGGACAAAATATGATAACTTAGTGGTCAACTACGAAGGACCTGTCTCATTTATAATTATTTAAAAAAATGTCAAAAGGTTTTCTTTTTCATTTTAGCTTATGACTTAGCTATGTTATGTTCCAACTATTAAGATATTACAAGGCTTAGAGAGCATTTCTCCATCAGATCGAGCATGGTCTTGTGGTTAGCGTGTCGAAATATCTAAGGTTCGAGGTATGATTTCGCTGAATAAACTCCGAACTTTTAGCTTCCCTAGCTATAAGAGTGACAGTCAACCTCGTTATTTATTAGCTTCTATGATGGCGGGAGCTACTGGCTGGTTAATTTCTCTCTGGTCAGTAATACAAAATTAAGGACAGCTTTGATCTGGTCGTTTACCTCACGTTTCCATGTTGAAATTTAAATTCCAACTTCATTTTCTTAATCTTTGGATTTTATGAATGGCTGCTATTTTGTGTAACGTGAAAATTAGCGTTTTAAGAGTTATATTGAATGTTTTTGTTTAAGTTGGCCCTCAAATTACCGAAGGGGTCTTCATTGACCTGGTGTTTGTACACGATAATTTACACTTTTTATTATTTATAGATACGTTCATGTTTACGGGTTAATATTTAGCTTGGTTCTCAATAATACTTGACATTATAAAGCTTTAAATGTGATAGAAAACTAGGGAGTAATGAAGAAAAAAATGGATATGGATAAACAGAAAGTCGTCTTTACACACAAAATTTGTCCCTTAGTGGCATAGCGGTATGTCTGCGGACTAACAACGATAGAAATCGGGTTTCAATAGCTGTGGTGGGCAGAGCACAGATAGCCCATTGTGTTAGCTTTGTTTTTAAAGGGCAGAACTTGTAACGACCATTCTTTCTCTTAATACTAGTTTGATTTTACAGTCGTGTCCGATTTTGTTGCTCTTGGTTACTCCCCTTTTTGTTTTCATGAATTATTTGTTTATCTAGCAACTGCGTGGAAAAAGAATCTTTTAGAGGATATTCTTTTATTCCAATCGGGGTCAAGATAAATCTATAAATACGAAGAGTGTATGACCTAAGTATACCTCTAATATGTTGTAGAAAACAGTAATTAGTCCCTCATCATTTGGTCAGCAGCATCCACTATATATTTGGTACTCTTGTAATCTAAGGTCATCACTGGTATTTTCCTGCTGTATCGTTGTCTTCTGTAGCTGATGGTAAATAATATTTAACAGCATAAATACCCCTTCTTTGAAGTATGGACAGTGTTCAAAACTCTGTATTTTCTTTTATGGAGATCACGTCAGATGGAAGTCCAACTTTATTTCTTCCTATTGTACCAACTGTTGCCTGGCAATTTATTGGACAGTTTCAAACTTGTGAAAATACGATCGCAGAGAACGTTTTTTAACACTTGCATAAGGGTTTTCTTCTCTTGGCTGTCCTTTCCTTCCTGTATACACTTGCATATTAATGTTTCGTTTTCACAAGAACCCCGAATTTTGATGTGATATTTTCCAGGTTTGCTTCGTATGTATTGTTTTGAAATAACATCTTTCTCGGAATTTGGTTTGTTGCTCATTGGTGGTCACATATTCTGATAGTACATAACACTTATGAATTGTCGGCACCCATTCATTGAAGTTGCACCAATTTATTGAAGTGCCACCCATTCATTGAAGTTGCACCAATTTATTGAAGTAACACTCATTCATTGAAGTGGCACCAATTTATTGAAGTAACACCCATTCATTGAAGTGCCACTCATTCATTGAAGTAGCACCAATTTATTGAAGTAACACCCATTTATTGAAGTAACACCCATTCATTGAAGTGACACCCATTCATTGAAGTGGCACCAATTCATTAAAGTTGCACCAGTTCATTTAAGTTACACCAGTTTATTGAAGTGGTATCTATTCATTGAAGTTGCACCTGTTTATTGAAGTGGCACCCATTCATTTAAGTTGTGCCAATTTATTGAAGTGGCACCCGTTCATTGAAGTTGCACCAGTTTATTGAAGTGTCACCCATTCATTGAGGTTGCACCAATTTATTTGGTGGTATCTATTCATTGAAGTTGCACCAGTTTATTGAAGTGCCACCCATTTCAAGAAATTCAAGAAATCTCTTATACACCGATACTTAACAAAAAATTGATTCACCATTGGCTAGATTCCAAGGTTTTTTGACTGCTTCTTTCTTTGATTTATAAAAAAAACATTGAAGTTAGTTAAAATCCAAATGCTTTCATTTTATTTTCAGTGCAGCTTTTCCTCCATTGTTTGCTATTTCTGCCATAATGAACTTTGTGAATAGAGTGAATACAATGTTAGTTACTTCTTGTTAAAGGCCTGGCTTGGCCTGGTGGTTAGAGAGCTCGACTCGCAATCTGCGGGTCGCAAGTTCGATTTCCCGTCCCACCAAACATGCTCACCCTTTTAGCCATGGAGATGTTATAATGTGGCGGTCAATCCCACTATTTGTTGGTAAAAAAGTAGTCCAAGAGTTGGCGGTGGGTGGTGATGACTAGCTGCCTTCTTACACTGCTAAATTAGGTATGGCTGGCACAGATAGTCCTCATGTAGCTTTGCGAGAAATTCAAAAACAAACTTGTTAAATACCTAGTGGTTTTGGTGTTTCTCTGAAGACAGTATTAATCCTTTTTTTAATTCTTCACCAGTATCACCATATCTTTCATCATCAGCCATACTTTCGTTTGAGCTTGTATTATTAGCATTTCTTGAGTTTCATTACTTTACACAATAAAGTCATCACTACTAAGCTTAGTCATCTTCGGAAATGTCAATGTTACTTTTGTCAACAAAATGTTGGTCCTGGAAATAATTTTATTCATTGCAAATTATTAGAAAAAAAGATATTCAGAAAAAGGCTGAAACTGGAGTGAATTGCACAATAGAAAGTGTCATCCTTTTATACACGTGATGAAATAGGCTCCTGGTTATTGAGTAACTGTTTTCCTTGTTATAACAATCAGTGTAAAGAGCTGGTAAAAAAATAACACTCATTTTCTATGAAAAGCACATAGAGAACCTAAGAAGTAATTAGTTGAATTATTATACATATTGGTGGTATTTTTATATAGCTTTGTTTAGTCTCGTGTGTTACTGGAGGCCCTGTAACAAGGAGTCATGTCTGAGTCCCATCAATAATTGGATTAAACAATGCTTTTAGACATTATTAACCTGATCAGTTCTAGAGATATTTGCACCTCCACCCCTCTCCCAGTGGCTCACTTAAATCGGATTTCGATACCGAAGTAGGCAGAGCACAGGTAATCCGTTGTATAGCTTAGTGCTTAACAACAATAACAACACAATAAGAAAGAGAAAACAAGTAATTTTGTTCGTTTATTACAATGTAACTTACTTTTTATATCTTGTAATAATCTGTCGTTTCAGTACACAACAGTTGATGTTATTGTGTGCTTTTCTATGAGAATATAGTTTGTAGAATTCTTAACATTTTTTGTCGGTATACATATATAGGTCACCCTTTTTTATCTGTGTTAACAATCTTGCAAAAATATTTAGTTTATTTGAAACATGTTACGTTTTTTGCTGCATGACATTTATTTGGAGATCTATGTATATCTCTTCCAAAGATGCTATTCCAGATATATAGTGTATGATTTGTGAACTATTTCTATTGCAGGAAAATTTCTGTTATTAAATAAAAACGAAATTAACAGAAAAAAAAAAGAAGAAGAAAAACATAATCAATGTTACCCCAAATATATGCAATGGATCTCTGTCGAAGCACTGATAAATACTTGTACTTTGTTGTGTGCCAATTGTATCTAACAAGCATGTATGGCTATAGCATATTTAAATGAAAATAGTGTTGCTGTTGGTGAATTGTTCAAATTATAATCTTTCCTTCCAGGTCCAACTGTGTGAGTCTTTTAGTGAATTGTTCAAGTTATAATCTTTCCTTCTAGGTCCAACTGTGTGAATGTTTTGGTGAATTGTTCAAGTTATAATCTTTCCTTCTAGGTCCAACTGTGTATATCTTTTGGTGAATTGTTCAAATTATAATCTTTCCTTCCAGGTCCAACTGTGTGAATCTTTTGGTGAATTGTTCAAGTTATAATCTTTCCTTCTAGGTCCAACTGTATGAATGTTTTGGTGAATTGTTCAAATTATAATCTATCCTCTCAGGTCCAACTGTGTGAATGTTTTGGTGGATTGTTCAAATTATAATCTTTCCTTCCAGGTCCAACTGTGTGAATGTTTTGGTGAATTGTTCAAATTATAATCTTTCCTTCTAGGTCCAACTGTGTGAATGTTATGGTGAATTGTTAAAATTATAATCTTTCCTTCTAGGTCCAACTGTGTGAATGTTTTGGTAACAACAACTCAGCTTGTTCCTGCCCTTTCAAAATTACTTCTTTATGGTCTGGGAGTAGTTTTTCCAATTGAAAATGTCTACAGTGCCACTAAGATAGGTAAGTAGGATTGAAGAGACTATAATACAACTATGGTGTGTTATTATTATTATCATATTATTCTGCAAATGTCGCATATTCTTCTAGAAAGACGAACTCATGTAATATTAAAAGCTAAACCCTCTTAGGGTTACATAGCTTAATGACTTACATTCAAGTTTTTATTTTAGAACTTTATTTTAAGTTTGACGTTTTAGTTGTTTGTAATTATAGTTTGGTGTTTTTCAAACCTCATCCTGACTCCCAACAAACATTAATACTTTGAAGTTCACGTTGTAGTTTGATTATATTGTTCTAAGAATGTTTTCATAGATTTTTTGTGGTGCAATGCTTTAGTATTCTATCAGTCACAACGTAATAGTGTATTTGGTTCACATAACGTTTCTGTTCAGGTTCTGAAGACAAGTATTCAATGGCTCTATCACAGTGTCAGTTGGCAGAGTATGGGCTTGTGTAAGTAGGTGCTTGCGTATAAATAGGCTTCATGCCTATGTTTCCTCAGTGCTTAAAACAGAAAGACATGTGTTAAAAATATCAGAGCTAACACTCGTAGAACGCACTGAGGCTATATTTCCTCAGTGCTCAAAACCGAAGGACATGTGTTAAAAAATATGAGAGCTAACACTTGCAGAACGCACTGAGCCGATTTTGATGTACTGTAAAAAATAGTTGTAACAGTGCTGCAACAGCTGTTGGTTTTGTTAGCAAGCATCTAGGCAAAAGCACAATTCCAAGACCAATGGTAATCAGTTTAGTGGATGGAATACTTCAGACTGGTAGTTTTGCAGTTGACGTTGTTGAACAACCTTCTGGTGGCCAAAAAATGCATCACAGAGTGTCTCTGCCAGAGAAAGTTTTTATTTGCATGTCATCCTCCATGTACCCTCCAGTTTTTGGGATGCTTCAACAATATTGCGTGAATTATTAATCACCTTGTATATTGAGTCAAGTGACCACTCCCAAATTTCTACAGTGTACTGTTTCCGAAATCTTGTTGTAATGTTTTACCTTTTAAGGACAAGGTTCTTAAAATGTTAAGAAGTCAGTGAATCACTTATGCAGTCACTGACCATTCAGAACACTCCACACACCTTTAGGGGACATCTTCTGTCAACTTCTAAGAGATGCACAGTTTGCGTGGATGAAAGTTGGAAAATCTGTAGCATGTTTCTCTGACTTTTTCCTACTTCTAGCGCAATTTGATGAGCTGACCTCGTTGGACTAACTTAGAAACAGCCTGCTACTGTGTCCAAAAGGTCCTCATTCGTTGCTGTGGAAGGTCTTCCACTGCGTTTACACTGGGTCACAGAACCAGTTTCACGAAATCTGGGAAGTAGACGGTCAACACTTGTTTGAGACAAAGGAGCTTTCCTCTCTGGATATCAGAAATTGACTTCTGTCGTGACCTGCTGCTAACTCAATCCAGGATTCTCACACAACACGTTCTTGCAAGGTTAATGACATCCTAACCAATTATTGCAACAAAAGAAAAAGAAACAGTTATTAGTGAAACACAGACACGACTAAGAAAAATCATAATAAAGGGGGAAATTCTGCATCACCTAAAACAACAAATCCAAAATTTCTCACACAAAATCTGAAAGTTGAAGTATAAGAATGAAAATTCTCACTTCATTGAATAACACTCATTATCTTATTTCCCATAGGATAACTTCTACAGTTTGCAAAACTAAAAAAAAAAAAAATGCTTGTCGTTACTCAGAAACTGTTCGTTTGATTTCTCAAACAATATTATACATATTTCGTTAAGCATTTATTTTATTGTTGTTTAATATGGGTTTTTTTTTGAATAAAGGTAAAGAGAGCTGCTTTGAAAGAATCGTGTCAAGATTTGGGAGAAAATGCACCTATGTTGTGGTCGGAGTTGGAAGAGACGAAGAAGCAGCAGCAAAGCAGGTACAGTCATTCAAAGAATAAGCATTCATTTATAGAGTAAAGAGGAGGATGGACAAACTGGAGATAAGAGTAACAATTTATACGTTAGAACTACAATAAACTCACAGTTTTTCCTAAATATTTCAGGTTAATTATCACAATCAGCACTCAGTAATGAACTTGAAATAGTTTGTGCAACACTAACAGCGACCTATAATGCTTATGACGTTATAATCAGGAGCTCGATCCCCCTAGCGGATTACAACGCAGGTAGTCCACTGTATGGTTTTACGTTTACAACAAACTAACTACTTATTGCACAAATATTTACCTAATAACTGTTCGTAAGTTACGTTAGCATCTCGGTGGCTCAGCAGTGAGTCTTAGGGCTTTTCACGCTAAAAACCGGGTTTCAATACCCGTGGTGGGCAAAGCATTGTATAGCTTCGAGATTAATAACAAATCATAAAAAAATTCCACTAACTTTCACTACCATTGGTAGATATATGGCTTTGCAAGTATGATATTAAGTAACTGTTCTGAGAAATAGATATGTAATATGATAAAATCAGAAATTTTATAATTAATTTCATAAAATTAGAAATGTTGCATATTTATTTCCAAGTGTTGTAGATAAAGTCAAGAATAACTATTTTACTTAATGCTTATATCGTCATTTTTCATGAATAAGGACTGTTAGAGTAAGTGAATTGTAATACTTATATCATTTTTCATGAACAAGGACTGTTAGAGTAAGTGAATTGTAATACTTATATCGTCATTTTTCATGAACAAGGACTTTTAGAGTAAGTGAATTGTAATACTTATATCATTTTTCATGAACAAGGACTGTTAGAGTAAGTGAATTGTAATTGTCGATTCTATTTATGTTATTTACAAAACATGATTTAGGGTAAGGATGAACAAGGACTGTTAGAGTAAGTGAATTGTAATACTTATATCATATTTCATGAACAAGGACTGTTAGAGTAAGTGAATTGTAATTGTCGATTCTATTTATGTTATTTACGAAACATCATTTAGGGTAAGGATGAAACTGTTAGAGTAAGTGAATTGTAATACTTATATCGTCATTTTTCATGAACAAGGACTGTTAGAGTAAGTGAATTGTAATTGTCGATTCTATTTATGTTATTTACAAAACATGATTTAGGGTAAGGATAATAACACAACATTATATGTATACTTTATTTGAATCAACGTTATCACCATTCAAAAGAAATGACGAACCAATGTTCTTGTTTCTGGAGCGAATCAAACAATCTTCCCCTCGCGTTAAGCTTAATATGGCGTCACTGTTAATCCGTTATAATATTGCAGCTTTAGAAAAAGCAGTTCAGTTTCGTATAGACAGATAGCCACATATTAATGGTTAGCATTCCTGGACTGGGATGGAAAATTGCGCTCTGATTTTTTGGGGCAGTGGGTGCCACAAGAGTGATGATTGAATACGACTATTCGATCAAACAAAATTAGCCCAAGATTTGAGGGTTGGTGCTGTTGGCTAGCTGCGTTACAGCTAGTCTATCGGTTCAAAATTAGGGATGGCTAGCAAAAATAAATAAATAAACATTTCTATGACTACTGATGTAGCAAATAAATGTGAACGTTTATTACGTTCTTAAAGAATGCTCTTACGTAAATAGCTTCCGGAGATAAACTATACTTGGTCATGACGTAAGAAAAAATGCTACCTCATCAAACTACGATAATAACAGTACACGAGCACATGTTAGTTGCTGTACTGTTCAAAGAATTGTCGTGATTCTGATTATCGTTTTTAATAAGCGACTTTGGCGAATAAAAGAAAAGCAGTCGTTACTACGGAGAATAAGAAACATAAGTTTTAGCCTACGTACTTGCTTAGTTTTTGTCAGGTTAGGTATTTTGATCTGAAGATCTACAGATATGAATACATTAAAAGTGTGGTGTGGTTGTTATTATGTTTAATTCATGTAAGATCTGAGAGCAATCACTAACTGAAGGCACGGGTGAGCAGAAGCTGATTAATACACGGGTACGTAAACGTGCAGTGCCAGTTTTTGGAATAAGTCATTTCGCGTTTTTGGTTTAGTGGTTTATCAAACTATTACTTTTACGTGGAATAAGATAAAAGTCATAAAATGTTCAGTCTCGTTCTTCAAAGAAAATGACATCATGTAGTCGTGTTAGAAGAATTGCACGCTATTACATTAACAATTATAAATACATAAATGAGTAAAACCTTAAACTTGGTAGTTTTTATTGACAGAATCGTGCATAAATAGATGTAGGAGGCGCCATTATCTGTTTCCATAAGACATTAAAGACAACGCCCTTTTTTTAGTAAGAAAAAAAAATGACGATGGGAATATTGGAAATTTCAATTGATCCTAACCATTCTTATCATAATGTGATATTTTGAAAAATAATATTAAAACCAAAGCTACAAATGACACACACACACACAAATAATGTGTTCTAGAACTATTGCAATCGTTCGGGTTCTTAAATCAGTGTGCAATGAGTGTAGAGATCAACGTGATGATCACTACGGTTCGGGCTCGAACCGCGTACACCATGCACGTACTCTACTTAATTATGTTAAAAGGTTACCACCTAGTAAGAGACTTTTCAACAACTTAAATTATCTCATCAGTAAGATAAGTTCAACACATTTTTGTGATACAACAGAAGGGTTTGATTGCAGGATGAAATCCCAATATTGGTTTAAATTACTTCATTAGAAGGATAACTTCAATATATTTTGTGTAATACCATAAAAGGGCTAGCTTGCACGGTGATATTCCAACATGGGCTTAAATTACCTCATCAGTAAAGTAACTTCAACACAGAGGGCATAAATAGTCAAGTTAATAAGTTAATTGGCAGGGCGATATTCTTATATGGGCTGATTCCAAGAAAGTTAACGCCATATTCTCTGAGTTATTTTAACTTAAACCCCTTTTTTCTTATGAGCATTATGTGGAAAGTTTCCTCCTACAGTTTTCTAGAAACTTCATTAAATGTACTAGGTATATTAAGTAGGTCTTGAACACACGTTGATACGTTTATGACAGAATTAATACAGTTATGTGTTTCAGCTTATTTTGAGGGATACACACTACGTATAACAAAGCACGAAATTCAGGATGACCCTAAAGTCAAAGGTAAAACGACAAGACTTGAAAGCCCGGCATGGCCAGGTGGTTAAGGCACTCGACTCACAATCTGAGGGTCGCGGGTTCGAATCCCCGTCACACCAAACATGCTCGCCCTTTCAGCCGTGGGGGCGTTATAATGTGACGGTCAATCCCACTATTCGTTGGTGAAAGAGTAGCCCAAGAGTTGGCGGTGGGTGGTGAT